ATATCGAAGGCAGAGGCCAACTCTGCGTGATCCCCGTTTCACTATCACTTAAAACTACAGCTTGCTGAAGCACGCGGTGAACATTGTCGAAACCGACAGCCGAACAACTACCTCAATATACTTTTGTAAGGGCTTTACGCCGTGTTTGTACTCAGATCACTACAATCATCATGCCACGACTCAGGTTGTAGGTAGAAAAAACAGAAGGCACCAAAGTGACGGCTCTACTGTGCATATATCCCCGAGTTGCTCCCAGACAGCAGTAGCCACTGGCGAAATCAGAGCTAGTGTCAACTGTGTCCAGTCAGATAACTACAATTCAACGAAAACTGACAGTGATGCCTGCTGTCACGAACTTACAAACCTAGTCTAGGGCATGTGAATTGCGTAATTTCTGGCAGTTAGAACCCATTCGTTGATACAGTTTGGGGCCATCTCATTTACGCGAATTCAAACTGAAATTCTTTTTGTTTTTTAGGCAACAGGCGACGCGCCCTACAATTTGATCTCGCACCGAAAAAGACTCCCCTCCAGAAAAACAAGACGTGTTCAATCCAGTGAAAATTGGGTCCAGGAAATCGAACGGATTACCCTCCCCTACAGATTGTGAGTGTGTGCAGTGGTTACGTACGAAACACACGGGCCGGCGAAAACCATGTAAACTTACGGAGAATTCCGCACCGTTCAGTTTTTGTCGAATAACCCTGTCTGTCTTCCTAATATGAGCACACGTTGACCATCGGAGATTTTTAACGGCAAACAATTTTTATGCGATTCACCATTAGAAAAAAGCACAGATTCTCGTAATTGTTTCTTTTTCGTTTTTAAAGGCCTGAATATAAACCCGGCAAAATCCCACGCACCTTTCTGCACACAGTTTTCAAAGTTCAACCACGTAAACGTGACTGCCAAAAGAAGTAGCGGGCACTTCTCGGTGACTAACGTTCAATAGAAAAGCACCGGCTGACAAAAAATGGGGTAGAAAAGGCGAGGTAGGCGTAAGCAGACAAGAACACAAGGCACAGCCAAAAGACATTCCTAAAATTATTAAGCAGCAAGTCCAAGGATTCCATCAAGGTAGTGTAAAAGACGTCGTGGATCGCCCCGGTGGAAAGGTACGAGTCCTGCACTTTCTGGTGAGGAAGACGGGCCTAATAATTTTTCCATGTCAAGGTCGGCTGAAAATTCTCTCTAAAAGGAGAAAAAAAACAATTCTGGGTAAGACCTATGAGAAGGCTTATTCAGCGTCGTTGGCGGCACGACATCATTCAAAGGCGTAATCGTTGGAAAAGGAGATTCCAGAGTACGACAAGCCTGTCGACAACTTATGCTGTTTCTGCTCCAGCTGCTACGTGCCACTCAATTAAATGAACCTTAACAATTACAGTTCGCCATTTTTCTCTTTGTTGATAAAGGACAACACTACACAAGAAGCACAGTTGACGGTGGGATCGAGGCAGGGCTCACCAATACAAGTCTAATCGTATCCCAATAGAAGGGCGTCACCATTTGTCTTGAAACTTCCATTCTCAACTCAAACAGACGGTAAAGAAAGGATTAACAACGAACATTCAAGAATTATTTAGATGGGTTACATTCTAGTTGGTTATTGATCGCACACCTGGATTCACTATAGCAGACCGATGCGTGATAACAAAACTGGTATCGGACATGTGTCTGACCATACTCTCCTTCACGCACGCCGAGAATTTCCGCAACTGTTTCTGTTATTGTCTGTAATGAAGGATCCGCGACGGATTTCCAAACGCCGGGCGAGTAAGAGTGTTGCCCCAGCGATTATATCCTCTTCTTATCGATTCATTTCTCATCTACACTACAAAAGTCACATGCAATCCACTTTGATGTCACAAAACGACGACAGCCGAGCACCGCCGAGGCCGAGACAATAATCCGGTATCATTTTTCGGCTGCGACAGCCGATAAAATGCCTAGCAGCCCGGCGGCGACGCAGTGACTGTATCAACAGAACCTTGCAGTTGCCTGCCCAGACGGCTTAAGCCAGGTTTTGCAACGATTATCCAGCTGCTCCGAAAGACGGCGGTAAAGTTAGCTGCTGATTACCGAAGGCAGTATTTGACCGAAATAGCGACTTCTGTCAAGACGGTCTCAATCGCCGTTGATGCTCAAAACTACTAAATTGTTTGTCAGGTTAATAGTTAACTCTCTGTAATCAGTGGGTTTGTTAGGGGTGTGAAGAACGACTTAATCGCTAGAAATTTGGCCAATGTCGACCGTTGACGTTAGCCCTTCGAGTGCCTCCTCAAGATTCATGATCACGCCCTCGTCCTCGCCTACAAGTTTTATCTTTCGCTCTAGACTACGTAGTGTCGTGCGATCTTCCTTCTCAGGGAGAAATCGCCGCTGCAGTACGGAGACTGCACAGCAACGCACTGGGAGATGAAGGGTACTCTTATTGAATCCAAAAGCCTTGTGTTGAAACTGGCGGCTTGATTGTGTGAAGACTTAGCAAACGAGAGAAAATGAGATTGTTCCTAATGACTGGGATTCGAGAATCTTTGTACCGGTCTTTAAGGTACACAAGACAAGGCACGATAACTATCATTGCCTAAGCATTACTGTCGTTACTTTTGCCTTTTTCAGGAGATTCAACGCTGCTCGTGAATCTAGCACAATATCCAACCAGGCCGCGTTCCAAGCTGGGCGGGAACGCGCAGGCCAGATTTGCACACTGAATTCTACTACGACTACCAGCGAACATCGGGTTTGTTAACTTTTCGTCGCTATTTTTAACTACGCCCATCGTGAGTCGCTGTGATATGCTGGAAAAAATCAT